GCCTGACCCAAAGCCTATTCTCTTTCTAATGTATCATACTAGTATATTGGTTTTGTTTTTGGATACATGAACTGATCATAATTTTAAGCAGTTTAATAATTTCACTAAGTATTAAATACTGATTTTATTTTAGATTTTTTTCAAAGACTGCAGAAACCAGTTGATTTTTAAATGCTGTAATAAACAGACTTTGTTGTACATTTCAATTCCTTATTAAATTAAGAGAAGTCTTTGCATATGTAGACAGCCAAAACAACTGGGGACTGAAAATCTCTCACAGGACTTAACGTTTTCATGAACACAGAATTCACAGAAACTGTAAACTATGTGATAAGTGTACGTTAGTTTTTATATTTCAATATTTGTTACCCCCACCCAAGGTTACCCTCAACCAACTCAATCCCCTTTGTAGCCTGCCTTTTAAAAACCAAGGTGCCACTGCAATATAGGAATGTGAATAGCAGTAAACTTGACACAAGAGAATATTGTGACCGGCATACAAATTGACTTGAAGGCAACTTTATTAGCTTTTATTTTAAATTATCCCAAAGTCTTCCAAGACTGAAACAAGAACCATGTTACTGTGTGTACTGTCACTGTTACAGTGTGCACCGTAACTCTAGTAGTTTGAGAATTACGTGAACTATTTTAAGGGCTATGTCATGATATACAGAAGGAATTCTAATTTTCAATACTTTCACTAATTTTGTCATAGGTGGTGGTATTAGTCCATTCTCACATTGCTATAAAGAAATACCTGAGACTGGGTAATTTATATGAGATTTAATTGGTTCAGGGTTCTGCAGGCTGTACAGGAAGCATGGTGGCCTCTGCTTCTGGAAAGACCTCAGGGAGCTTTTACTCAAAGCAGAAGGCAAAGTGGGAGCAGGCAGTTCACATGCCAAAATCAGGAGCAAGAGAGAGCAAGCGGGGAGGTGATACACACTTTTATAAACAACCACACCTTGAGAGAACTCACTGTCACAGGAACAGCACCAAGGGGATGGTGCTGAACCATTCAAGAGAAATTCACACCCATGATCCAATCACTCCCACCAGGCCCTGCTTCCAACACTGGGATTACATTTTGACATGAGATATGAGTGGGGACAACATCCAAACTATATCAGTGATCTTCATTTAAATTCTTCAGAGTGATCAATTTGGTATTTTTTTTTTTTTTTTTTTTGATAGCAGTACTGTCAGCAGAGGTTAGACACATTAAGAGTGCTGAGGATGTGCTGCAGAGATTTTACTCAACAGTCCCTTGCATTTACCAAGGAGGTATTGGTTGTAGACCTACTCTTTTTTTCCTCCAATTAGTTCCAGATACTGCTGCTGGATCCACTCAAGGCCCACTTCTATTCCTGATGCCATATAAGCTGAAACATTTTGTGACTCTCCAACAAATGAAGCATGAACAGTAAACACAAGAATCCAAGTCTTTTGCCAATGATATCGTGGCTCTCTCTAGTCTCATTTTCTCTTGTTTGTATCCTAAGCTTCATCCAACCTAGACACACTCTTCTTAAATATGTCCTTGATTTTCCTCCCTCTACAGTATTTCTTCTACCTGTTCCACCTCCTTTTCCACTTGCAAAGTCCTCCACCTTCTCCTTTAGGACCCATCTGAAATGTCTACTCCTTAATGAAAACTTTTCTGATCTCTCTAATGGCATGAGATTTCTCTATCTTAAATACTCATTACCCCTTTCTTTATATTTCATTGTACTAGATCCAGCTAGTTAACTATAAATATTTTTTTATCATCCCTAAGAAGTCATAAAAAAAACTTCTTGAGGGTAGGAATGCTTTAATTTAGAACCAGTATATTACAAAAAATACGTAGCATGTGGGAGAGACTATGGGAGATACGAAAGCCATGAAAGGAAAGATACGAAAGGAATTTAAACTTTATCTTATGGGCATCAGACAACTATTATTGAATAGAAAAAGTGGCATATGAAAAAAATGCTACAGGAAAATTACTGATTACTTGTATTTACTGTAGAGGGGGGCTATGGGGAAAGAGTAATGTTATCTTGGAGACTGCAGAACAGTACATTGGAAAATTAGTATGGCGGAGGAAACAATACCTCTTTAAAGAAGAAAAGTAAAACTGGAGAGTTCAATGATGCTGAAATAGGAGAATCATGAAAATAGATTAGAGGAGGCAGGGAGGAAATAATGACCTGAAGAACAGATTCTGGAAGAGTCATATAAGAATGATACTAGGCAAAAGTAAAACCAGAAGTTTTTTACTTTTATAGCCATCTTCTGCTTTACTTTTTAGGGAAGCTTGAAAATATACTCTGCTTATTCCAGTTAACAACTAATACTAGCTACATTTCTCAAAGTGAGTATCCAGACGGCTCAGCTATTTTAAAAGATACTGATAATCTCAAAAGAAGTTTTCAGAAATAAAAATCACCATCTGACTTAACTTTTGCACTGCAAAAGATTTGTTTAACAAATACTGAACAGTTGATCTGCTGGGACTGTTCTAGCATTAGAGTATACAACAAAGGAGTGCTTGCTGTCATGGAGCTTATGTTCTATCTAGACGCAGATGACTAACATGCAGTGTGACTAGACATCCTGGTTTGCCCAGGATTGAGGGGTTTCCCGGGATGCAGGACTTCCAGTGCTAAGCCTGGGAAATCAGTGACAAACAACAAATGCTAGTGGCAGCTGATCTCCCAATGATCACCTAAAACCACCCTGCCCCCTACTTCCCACTTCCTCGTATTCATGCCCTTATGTAAACCCTTCTCACATTAAATAGGGCTGACCTGCATAAGTAACAACACATTGTGGAAACGACTGTGTGTGACTTCCAAGGCTAGGTCATGAAAGAAATTCATGAATTTCATGTGGCTCTCTGCTACACTCAAGCAGCCCTGTGGAGAAGCCTGCTTGTCGAGGAACCAAAACCTCTTGCTATCAGCTATGTAAATCAACCATCTTTAAGGGAGATTCTCCAGCCACAGTCAAATACAGTCAGACTTTCAAATGACTTTAGCCCTGGACAGCATGTTCACTGCAACCTCTTAGGAGATCTTAGAACCACCCGGCTAAGTCATTCAAATGCCTGACATACAGAAACTGAAATAAAGCTTGATGCTAAATTTGGGGGTAATTTAATACAGAGTAGTAGATAACTAATACAGTGCTAGAGAAAAGTTATGCCTGGTAAGAACTTAGGAAGGTAGGCACTATTTTTGGTAAGTGGATTTGGATAAGCTTCTCTTACAAAGGCATTTGGGCAGAGATCCAAAAAATAAGGGAGCAAGCCAGCAAAAGGATGTTCCAAGCGGAAGAGTAATGGACTTCTGACTCAGTACCAACTAAAGTGATTGTTAGAAGAACATCAAATGTGTCATTGCGACTCAAGTAGAGTGAGCAGGGTAGAGAAGGGGGTGTGGCAGGACATCAGAGGGAGGGGCAGAGCCTCGCAGAATAAAAAGTAAGGTGTTTGAATTTGATTGAGTCAAGGGAAGCCACTGGAAGGTTTTTTTTTTTTTTTTTTTTGAGACGGAGTCTTGCTCTGTGCCCAGGCTGGAGTGCAGTGGCCGGATCTCAGCTCACTGCAAGCTCCGCCTCCCGGGTTCACGTCATTCTCCTGCCTCAGCCTCCCGAGTAGCTGGGACTACAGGCGCCCGCCACCTCGCCCGGCTAGTTTTTTGTATTTTTTAGTAGAGACGGGGTTTCACCGTGTTAGCCAGGATGGTCTCGATCTCCTGACCTCGTGATCTGCCCGTCTCGGCCTCCCAAAGTGCTGGGATTACAGGCTTGAGCCACCGCGCTAAAGCGTCATCTTCTTTTGGTTTTCTATTAGCAGCTTGGATTCTGAGCATGCAACATTTGATTCTGTAACAAGGCTGACAAGGGTTCAACCAGGCTGTGTGGATGAAATCTATGACCTCCTCAAGCATTTGAAGTTCATGTTTTCTTTTTATTTTAAGACAGAATCTTGCTCTGTCGCCCAGGCTGCGGTGCAGTGGCGCGATCTCTGCTCACCACAACCTCCGCCCCCCTGCCCCCCCGGGCTCAAGCGATTCTCCTGCCTCAACCTCCCAAGTAGCTGGGATTACAGGTCCGCGCCACTGCGCCAGGACTAATTTTTCTTTTCTTTTTTTCTTTTTTTTTTTTTTTAGCAGAGACTGGGTTTCGCCATGTTGGCCAGGCTGGTCTTGAACACCCTGACCTCAGACGATCTGCCTGGCTAGGCCTCCCAAAGTGCTGGGATTACAGACGTGAGCCACCGCGCCTGGCCTGAAGTTCTTTTCTACAGAACTTTGCTGTCCGATACACATGAGGCTACACAGCCAACTGGGCACCTGACACGGGGCTAGTGCAAATTGAGACGGGCTGTTACCTCTAAAACACACACTGGATTTCCAAGACTTAGAACTAACCACAGAGCGTAAAAGATCTCATTAATTCTTTTAGACTGATTACATGCTGAAATGACAGGATGGGCTAAATTAAATACATCATTAAAAGCAATTTCACCGATTTTTCTTTACTCTTTAAAAATGTGGCTACTACTAGAATTACCTACGTGGCTCGGACTGTGTGTCTACAGGGAGCTCCTCTCGGGCACTCTGTACACTCAAGTTTCGCCGGTGTCCTCCGCCCGAAGGGCCGCCTCAGAAAGGCCGAGCCTCCGGCCCGGCCTCTCCGGTTTCCCGGGGAAGCGGTCCAGCCGCCGGCGAGGGCTCCGAGGTCGGCCCCGAGGGTTAAGGGGCAGCCCTGGCCTTCGCGACATCCATTCAGCCGGCTCCGCGGGTGCAGCGCGCGGTCCTCAGAGAAGCCCCGACCCTCGCGTCGCTGACCCGACCATTCATTAATCGGGGGATTCCGAGGGCCCGGGAGCAGCCTCGGGCGCCCCACTCCCCCATTCTCGCGTAGCCGTCTCTTTGACCGCGTCACACTGAGCGGCGCAACCACCAGGGAAGGTAACTGGGAGGGCGCGACCTCCCTCAAGCAACACCCACCTCGGGCTGACTGAAGGGACCCAGGTCCGGTTCAGTCACTGCGTTTCCTTGGCTTCCTGGGTCTCAGCGGCGGGGGCGTGGCCACAGCCTGAGAGGCGGGTTTCCTGTCCAGTCGTGAATAACTTCCGACGTGTGCCGGAAGTTTCCTCAGTGACAATCAGGAAGTCGGCGTGTCGAGTGGCTCCTCCAGGCCGCTGAGGCGGGTTAAGGTCTGAGGGTCGTGTGGAGCCAGGGCGCTGGTCACCAGGTGTTTGGCGTGGTCAGCTCTTATTTCTCGCCTGGCAATGGCGACGTACACCTGCATAACTTGCCGGGTGGCGTTCCGCGACGCGGACATGCAGCGGGCCCACTATAAGACGGACTGGCACCGCTACAACCTGCGGCGTAAGGTGGCCAGCATGGCCCCAGTGACCGCCGAGGGCTTCCAGGAGCGAGTGCGGGCGCAGCGGGCCGTAGCGGAGGAGGAGAGCAAGGGCTCGGCCACCTACTGTACTGTTTGCAGTAAGAAGTTTGCCTCTTTCAACGCCTACGAGAACCACCTCAAGTCCCGGCGGCACGTTGAGCTGGAGAAGAAGGCCGTGCAGGCCGTGAATCGGAAAGTGGAGATGATGAATGAAAAGAACTTGGAGAAAGGACTGGGCTTGGACAGTGTGGACAAGGATGCCATGAACGCCGCCATCCAGCAGGCCATCAAGGCCCAGCCTTCCATGTCTCCCAAGAAGGCGCCCCCAGTGCCTGTAGAGGAGGCCAGGAGTGCCGTAGCCGTGGGGACTGGTGGCCGTGGGACCCACGACCGAGACCCGAGCGAGAAACCACCCCGGCTCCAGTGGTTTGAACAGCAGGCGAAGAAGTTGGCAAAGCAGCAGGAGGAGGGCAGTGAGGAGGAGGAAGAGGACCTGGATGGAGACGGTGATGGCCCTGTCTGGGCGGGGAGGGTAAAGAGGAACTTGGCCCCCCCTTTAGTTTTCAGATTTATACTCGAGATGGGTGTGTGTGTTTGTGTGTTTGAGAGCTTTTAAGTAAAAATGATGAGGGAAGGTGGTTTAGATGCTTTCTGAAGTGCCTTATCTGGCCAGCAGGTTTGGCTGTTTAGTTCACTCAGTTCATTCTCGAAGGCCTAAAACCTTGTCTGGAAAAAGAAGAAGTGCCTAATGCATATTTGGAGAATGAATTGATGCCTTCTCTGTTTTGGATGAGGAAACTTTTTTTTTTTTTTTTTTTTGAGACAGTCTCGCTCTGTCGCCCAGGCTGGAGTGCAGTGGCCGGATCTCAGCTCACTGCAAGCTCCGCCTCCCGGGTTTACGCCATTCTCCTGCCTCAGCCTCCCGAGTAGCTGGGACTACAGGCGCCCGCCACCTCGCCCGGCTAGTTTTTTTTGTATTTTTTAGTAGAGACGGGGTTTCACCGTGTTAGCCAGGATGGTCTCGATCTCCTGACCTCGTGATCCTCCCGTCTCGGCCTCCCAAAGTGCTGGGATTACAGGCGTGAGCCACCGCGCCCAGCCTGGATGAGGAAACTTTTAACATATGCACAGGAGGACATCGTCATACCAGCCGCCGTGTTATTTGCTATTCTAGTGGGTTTCCAGTTATGATGGTTTTGCACTTACTTTAGTTGAGTAAAACAGAATGAGGGGATCAAAATCAACTCAGCCAGAAATGTGGAGCTGCAGCCAGCAGCCTCACCTCTTTGACTTTATGAGTTATTTATTCCTTCTTTCCCTCATCCCACATCCTATTAACAGTGCTGGTGTAGGTGTTCATGTCTTAGTCTGTTCGCTCTGCTATAACGAAGTACCAGAGACTAGGTAATTTATGAATAACATAAATGTATTTTCCCATAGTTCTGGAAATTGGGAAGTCCAAAATCAAGGTGCTGGCAGAGTCAGTGTCTGGTGAGGGCCTGTTCGTAGATGAAGTTTTCTCATGGTATCATGTGGAAGAAGCAGAAGGCAAAGACGGGCTAGTTCCCTGGCACTAATCCATTAATTCAGGATTAGTGCTCGCCTAACTTAATCACCCCCTAAAGGCCCCACCTCTTAATGCCATTTCATTGATGATTAAGTTTCAACATTTGAATTTTGGGAGGGAAACATGCATTCAAACCATGGCCGTTCATAGAGCATCCCACCAGCACATACACACACCCCACAGTACTTTTGTGAAATAGTAGATAGAGGCATTGTTTTAGCAGTTTATAAAAATATGCAGCCAGAGCTCACGCCTGTAATCCCAGCATTTTGGAGGCCAAGGCAGACAGATCACGAGGTCAGGAGATCAAGCTATGGTGAAACACCATGTCTACTAAAAATACAAAAAATTAGCCGGGCGCCGTGGTGGGTGCCTGTAGTGCCAGCTACTTGGGAGGCTGAGGCAGGAGAATGGCGTGAACCTGGGAGGCGGAGCTTGCAGTGAACTGAGATCGTGCCACTACACTCCAGCCTGGGCGACAGTGCGAGACTCCGTCTCACACACAGACACACACACACACAGACACACACATATATATATATATATTCACCCAGCTAGGAGACTCCCTAACTCTATGTTCAGCACTGGGCTAGGTGCTGTAAGGCATAGGAAAGAAACAAACGAAAGACTTCTATTTCCTGGGAAAGAAAGACTAAGGAATTTCACAGCCATTCAGATGAGTCTGGTAAACAAATAGCTAAAATTGAGATCTTGAAAGAGGAGTTGTCCTTGGGAGTTGGAGGTACGGCTGTTTCTCCAAATATAGGACTGTATCACCTCATGTGAATTTTTGTGATATCTTTGCTTGCTATTACTTTTCTTAAACTTAGTATTTCAAAATTCTGGCTTGCAGATTGGGAAGATATTGATTCTGACGAAGAATTGGAATATGAGGATACTGAAGCAATGGATGATGCTGTGGAGCAGGATGCAGAGGAGGAAGAGGCTGAGGAAGGCCCACCCCTTGGTGCCATCCCTATTAGGGACTGCTTATTTTGTTCCCATCATTCCAGCTCACTCATGAAGAATGTGGCTCATATGACCAAAGTCCACAGTTTCTTTATTCCTGATATAGAATATCTTTCAGATATTAAGGGACTGATTAAATACTTGGGTAAGTACAATAGTTTTTCTTTTAATGAGGAAATAATCACATTATTGGGGGACTGATCTCAAGGGAACATTAGTTTTGCATTTTTCATCAATCTTTGATGTAATTGCTTGCTTATTTTGTGAATGATTTTTGAGTTGTGACAAATAGTGAGATTTAATTGGTTGCAAAAAACTTTTTTCGTATTTTTTCCTTAAATTATTTTTCTAGGAGAGAAAGTTGGTGTTGGAAAGATTTGCTTGTGGTGCAATGAGAAAGGGAAGTCCTTCTACTCCACAGAAGCTGTACAGGCGCATATGAATGACAAAAGCCACTGTAAGCTCTTCACAGATGGCGATGCTGCTTTGGAATTTGCAGACTTCTATGATTTTAGGTAAGCATAATTTGTAATATGAAGTGAAGTGAAGTCATATTTGCTTTGCATTGATATTATGTGTGCCAGTGCTGGATATGTGTTTGGCACTGTACAATGTATCCTTAATAACACTTATAACACCTCTGTATTAGGTAGTTCTTTCTTTTAGTTGAGAAACTCAGTTTCACAGAGTTTAACACATCTAGTAAAGAGAAGACCTTAAACCCAAACTGAAGTTTGACTTGTTTTTGTTTTTGTTCTGGTTAAATCATCAAGAGTTCAGTTTTGCACCTTGAACAGAAGTACAGAAATCAGGTTTCACATATTGGGTTCCTGGAGAGTCCTTGATCACCAGCTGTCTCCTGAAGGAGTTGAGACAGTTGCTAAACCAGGCCCAAACCAGGCATCTGATGGTGAGATTATCCCATTGGTGGTTCACCCCTAACTAGAATTTTTTTTTTTTTTTCCTGAGAAAGATTTTTGCTGTCACCCAGGCTGCAGGACAGTGGCACGATCACGGTCTACTGCAGCCTCAGCCGCCCTGGGCTCGGGTGATCCTCCCACCACAGCCTCCCGAGCAGCTAGTGTGCACCACTATGCCCTGCTAATTTTTGTATTTTTTTGTAGAGATGGGGTTTTGTCGTGTTACCCAGGCTGGTCTTGAACTCCTGGGCCCAAGTGATCTACCCGCCTTAGCCTGGGATTACACGTGTGAGATACCATGCCTGGCCATAACTAGAATCTTGAATAATTTGTATGTCATTTAGCAAATGTATGTTAAGTACTTGTGAACAACTAGTTGTCAAAATTCCTGTGAGCTAGCCAGGAGATAAGCAGATGTGTATAATTACCATGCCAGGCATGCATAGTCCAAGTGATACAATGTTCAGAAAAGTCTCCGTCTTTTAAGTCTTGCTTTTGCATTTTCTTCCTGATTTCCCATTTTGCAACTGGAGACTTGCAGTTGGTGGACATGACTGGGAGGAGGTAGAGGGGAGGATTAGAGGCTGTGGCAGTAGAGAAGACAATGAATTCTGCTGGTGGTGGGAAGCATCCTCTTTCAGTATTTATCCCTCTCAAGTTTCCTTTTAGACACCAATGTTTACAACCTTTTGACTGATGTTGTCATCAGAGTGGTCAAAGCAAATACCATGGATAGAGTCAAGCAGCTGCCATCAGCAGTAGGCTTGGAATGCCCAGCACTCGGTCTGTCATCCTGTGGTTATTACTACCCAGTCTCACAGATTTCAGTATCTTCTGCAGGCCCGTGACCCCCACATTTATATCTCTAGTCTAGCCTTCCCCTTAGCTATAGACTGAAGATATCCAGCTACCTCCTTGATATTTCTACTTGTGTCTAAAAGGGATCGTTAACCTGTCCAAAATCAACTCCTGCTATGCATCCTAATCTGCTCCCTGTAAGTAAATGGCATCTCTGTCCTAGTTACTTAAGCCAAATGCCATGTAGTCTTCCTTTATTCTTCTGTTTTCTTTCATGTTTACTTTAGAATCTATCACCAAATCCTGCTTTAACTACTTTTGCACTATCTATCTTCAGAGGCTGACTGCTTCTCACTACTTCTACTGCTACTACCCAGGTCCAGGGCACCATCATCTTTTGCCTGACTTCCTATAGTAGCCTCCTG